ATAATTATAATATCATGGGCCCCAAAACCCTATTCTAATTATTAAGGCGCCTACATTAAGGTTTCGGATCTAGGGCATCCAACTTAAGGGTTCCCTGAAGTGCGCAGGGTGTTAGGATCCTTTTAATTTAATCATACGCCCCCGTATACGTTGTGTTTGGGGCACCGTGCTTGTATACTTTTAGCGTTCTGCTTGGGCTTTTGGATTTGGTTGTGGGATCTGCATGTTCTTCCCGGAAGGCAGCACCATGGCTCCAGATTTCAGGCCTTACATCATGGACTTTCGGACTTTCACACAATCGCGGTGAGTCCTGTTTTGCGGGTATATAAAAATGTGGGCGATTCTGGTGCGATTTTGGCTTCTGGAGCAGCGGCAGGGCTTGGAAGCTGGTCAAAGTCCCCTTGAAGGCCCCCCTAAACCCTATAAGCCTCTTTTACTCGCCCCCTAAAGGTCCCCTTGGTAGGTCCCCTTTTAAACGCAGAGCAGCCACAAAAGACGATATGAATCTGACCGAGGCGCGATGCTGCGAACATGTCGTCCGAACCCCGGTTTGGGTGCAGGTTTTGCGGGTTTAGATGGGCTCAGGATTTTGAACTTTGGGTCTAGGGTCTTTGGGGTGGGTTTAGTTGGGTTTAGGATTTTGAACTTTGGGTCTAGGGTCTTCAGGGTTTAAGGTTTAGGGTTTGGGATTAGGTTTGGGTCTTCTGTGCTTCGCGGGTGTCAACACCGAATTGGTCTGTTGAGAGCTGTGCAGGGCTGTGCAGATGCTTTTACTTTGTTAGGGGCTGCTTACGATTTAACAATCATACATTATAACAATCGTAATAATGGGGTTATGACCCTTTCGAACATGCTCTGGGCCGTGATCCGATAAAGTTGCCGTTTGTTGACAGTTGTCAGTCAAGGGTTTCTGTTCAAGTCTTGTCTCTCTATGTGTAGATATGTGTACAAGTTAAATAGATGAACAAAGAAGCAAATAAGCAGATAAATCTATATATATATATATAGATAGATGTAAGTGCTGCAGATATGTGTATGTCGCTATCTGTGCATATACATATACACAGGACGCACATGCACTCACGCAAACATAGGTAGAAGCATGCACATACATATATATATATATACATACATACATGCACATACATGTTTATGTATGCATGTGTGTACTCATGCATGCATGTTTGTATGTAGATGTGTATGCATGCATGCATGTATGGATGGATGTACGTGTGTAGGTGTGTATGCATACATACAAGTAAACAGGCATGTACTTCTGCGTGTATGTACGTATGCATGTATGCTTACATGTTGGCAGACGGACAGTTTTATATGCATATACCTATATTCACGGATATTTCATGTACATATATATATATGCTCACATATACATATAAATATATACACACATAAACACATACATACACACCCGCATACATACACACACACATACATGCATACATACATACATACATACATACATACATACATACATACATAGATACACAGATACACTCATACATCGCGCCATAGATACACAGACATACACACATACATTCATGTTAATATATATATATATATACACATATGTACATACACATATGAATGCGCCGTTCGTTTCACTTAGCTTGCGTGTGTATACATATGTATGCGTGAGTGTATTCGTTTGCGGTTTATGTGTTTAGGTTTGTACTTCCTTTGGTATATTGTTCATTTGTTCTTGTATTGGTTCATTGTTCAGTATTCACAGCAGGTAAGTAGTAGTGGATTGCAAAAAATGCTTAGGAGACAGAATGACAAGCATGTTAAACCTAAAGGTGATATCAGACACAACAACAGCAATCGCAATCGTGGCAATAACTGGTATCGTCATACAACCATAATGGTAATATCAGGAAATACACTCCCGAGGCTGGGATCTTGGCACGAGACCCTCCAAAGGATCCGGGAAGACGTGCAAAGCGCCTGCGCCTGAGGGTGATCACCGGCGGTTTGGGGTTGTCGGTTTCAGGGTGTACACGTAGCCACCAAAACCCACCTGCTGTAGGGAAACAGAACAAGAATAGTAGTAACAGTAGTACTGATATAGTAGTAAGAACAAGGAGCAACCATATTTCGGTTCCTAAGGACAGGCAGGGTTCGTTGGTTCAGCACATACTGGCCCAGTTTGTCATCAGGTTATACAGAAAACCTTGGTAGTTGGGGTTATGCTTCCACGTTTAGGCTTACCTCTAGTCTCCATTGCAACAGTAGCTTCTTGTTATAACATTTAGGATGCTGTAATAAAGTAACAGGAAAAGGAGCTACAATATAGAGTGTAGGTATAGGATAGTTCGAAGCCATCATTCAATGTAGAAGAGCCGTGCTCCACAGGGATCAGATGTAACTGAAACGAGTGCCGCTCAACCACTACAGCCGGCATAGTCTAGACCAGAGGCCCACATTAAGAAGCGCTGAAACCCCACATCTTTAAATGCGGTGGTCTAGGGTTTAGGGTTTACGGTTGAGGGGTTTAGGGTTTAGGGATTTAAGCCTATAAGATCCCTTCCTGGACCCTAAAGAACATACCTTTTTTAAGGGTTCCTCATTATGAATTCTTTATATAAGTCTCCTTTTTAAAAGGTGGGTTCTTTGGGGTGAAGGTTAGGCTTACACCGTAAACCCTAGACCCAAAATCTTAAGATCTTATCATGGAACCCTATAAGATCCCCAAAAGATCCCACAATGAACCCCGAGATCCCTGATAGATCCCTGCCCTCATAGAAACCTATGAGATCCCTCATAGATCCTGTAAAAAACCACAGAATATACGGTTTTTAGGGTTTAAGGGCCTTCAAAGAAGCCTATAACAAGACCCTAAACCCTCAACCCCTAAACACTACAGATCCCTTGAGGAGCCCTGAAAGGAAGCTCGAAGGAGTTTGAAAAGTGGTGACAAGATAGAAGAAACAGGATACCTGGAGGTTCATGGGTTTACGGTTTAGGGTTTAGGGTTTAGGGGTTTAGGGTTTAGGGTTTAGGGGTTTAGGGTTTAGGGTTTAGGGGTTCAGGGTTTAGGGTTTAGGGGTTACTTGGAGGTTCATGGGTAGTTATAAGTAG